TTTTTACATTTGCCTCTAAACCGTTTTGAATATTCTCAGTGTGTATAAAAAACAAATGTGCTTATTTTAATTATGTATGATGCACTTTAATACCTGGAGCTGAATAAATATTAAATCTTATAATATAGATAATAATATAAATTAATTATTAGACAGTAAATCCAACATTATTTGATTAGTATTGAAATAAAATTAAATAAAGATTACTGTTAATAGATTAGTGGGTGCAGTTTAAATATTACTCCAACATAGCACAGAGATAATTCATTTTTTAGTTTAAATTAAAGTTTTAATTGATTAGAGGAAAAATATATTACATCTACGGTCTATATGATATTGAATCCAGGTTCATTTTAAAGTGGTTCTCTCTGATATTTCTGGTTTAATGGACAAAATAATGAGAAAACCTGACACCTAAGTCCATTTTCATCCTGCAGCCTAACAAAACGCCTTCAACAGGCTTCACATCAGAAACATTACAGCTGCTACGTGACAGCGTTACTGCGTTTTATTACATTACAAATATGCACAAAGCAACCACAAATCTTCACATGTAACCTGTAACAGCTGCCAGGACGTCACAAAGCCAGGTGTGTGTGACAGACAGACATGCTGAAGCAGGAGCTGTGGACTGGACTCACCTGTTCAGGAGCCGCTCAGCTGCTTCATGGAGCTACTCTATAGAAGAGAAAATGCTTTCTGTGGCCATTTCCACAGAGGAGCTGCTCACACCTGCTGCTCAGCTACAGGTGTGATCAGGAAGTGAGGAAGAGAGGTGAGTCATCGGAGGGGGAGGGGCTTGGTGTCGTCACAACTTGCTCACCTGAGCGCAGATCGTAGGACAGGTGAGATGCTTCACTCTGCTCTGATTTCTGAACTGTTAAAAAAAATATATATATAAAAATAATCTAAGCTTCCTTCACTGGAATTCCCCCTTTTCAGTTATTCTTTTCACTTTTTCTTTATTTGTCTGGTTGGGCTGGTTTCCAGTTTGTCTTTATTTACAGCAACACTGTGGGGCAGTGACAGCAGCGCCCCCCTGTGGATATATGACTGACTTAGATCAGATAAAGTTAGATTAGAAGCTTTATTGTCATCATAATGCAGTACAACAATATTTAAAAAGAGCTTTCTGAGTAAAATGCATAAAAAGACCTTAAATATTGGCAACGGCCTTAAAAAAAAAAGAAAAAGAAAAGAAAAGAAAATCCCAACTGACACCTACGATGTTCATCTCCCTCCATTAAAGAAAAAACTCACAACAGTCCCTCAAATAACTAGAAACTGAAAAAGGTAATAATAAATAAAAATGTGTTAAATCATGATTTAATGAAATAAGACATTGCTTTTGAATTGTGGTTGAAAAGAATAATTTCTAAAAACAAAACTGTCCCGGACACCCGGGAGGCCTTTGCTGATGAGCAGTGGACCAGAACACCCGTCAGATAAATACGATCAAACCTGAAATGTTTGGTCTGAGTGCTGCTGAAAACTTCTATCCTCTGTTAATCTGTTGAATATTTTCTCCATTTCTTCAATAATTTGCCCAATAAAATGTGAGAAAAATGTAAAAAACCAAATGCAGGTGTTTCCCAAAACCCAAGAGGACGTTTTTTAAAAATATTTAGTTTGTTCACAACCTCGAGATGTTCAGATTACCGTCATATGGGAGGAAAGAAATGAGAAAATATTCACATTTAAGGAGCTGGAAACACAGAATTCAGACTTTTTTCCTGTAAAAAAAAAAATTAAAAAAATACTCAAACCAGATAAATATCAAAACAGTTGTTAGTTACTTTAACAATTAATCAGTTAATTGATCGTTGATAACTTGTATTAAGTCAATTATTTTAAGTTTAAATATGCAAATGAGGCATTATCCTATTAAATATGTGCAAACAGAAATAAATGTCCAGTAGATAAAGTGTTTCAAGGATTCAAGGTCTTTATTGGTCACAAACACAGTTCTACCAGTGAAATGTGTTGAGCTCCTGGTCCACAACAATAAAAATAAGATGAATAAGAATAAGGAATAAAACACACAAGAAGTAAAAAAATATATATGAATGTATACATACATATATATATATAGAGAGAGAGAAATAGCAGAAATAAATAAATCAAATTTCAAAATAGTGCAAAAAGGGAATAAAACAAATAAAAAACATAATAATCAGATTGTGTACATGTACCTTCATTTACATGAATTATGTGTAATTATGAAGTCTGTTCCTGGGAGCCTCAGTGAAGCCTGAGCAGCACCAGAACTCTTCTCGGTGCCACAGAAATGCGACCAGAGGCTCATCTGCACCAGAAACCATCTTTGTCAGCAGCAGCAGCTTTACGGGGAAAACCCGAGCAGCAGGAGGAGGAGGAGGAGGAGGAGGAGGAGGAGTGTCTGCATCACTTGTAGCGCTTCTTCCAGGAAGTACAGCCTGTTGTTCTGCCTTCATGAGAGCTTCAGTGAAGTCTGGCGGATAAAGGACCCAAACAGACGCGGATGGTGGAGGAACCATGTCGGACTCTCTGGAGCGAAGCGCCAAGATGAGCCAGCTGAAGGAGCCGCTGGTCAGGAAGCTCTGCGAGGTTCTGGACAAGTCCAGCAGCAGAGGATGGCGAAAGCTCGGAGAGATAGTCGGCAGTGACAGACGCTTCAAAGTCAGGTGGGCTGGACACGACGTCCCTACAAACACGTTGGTGTCATCAGAAGGAGCTCCAGACACTCTGCAGGTGGTCAGATGTTCACCTCCACGGCTCCTGGTTAAACTGTGACTGCTGAGAATAAACTCACTTTAATGCATCAGTCCTGCAAGAAATCCTGCTGCTACTAAAGTTATAAAGTCAAACTTTAAGTTAAAGTTAAAAACAGATTCAGACAGGTGTGGTTTCAGCGCATGCTCACTGTGGAGGACGTGGTTCAGAGCTGTGACTTATTTATAATAAAAGAATAATTATAATAGCAGGAGGACGCTTCGCACCGCGCATGTGCAACTACAGAGGCGGTGAATGTGTTTGGGCCACAGTCCTGATAGAAGTAGATTCTTCAGGTTGGTTTTACTGTTTAATCAGAGATTTAAAGTCCAGTCTGCAGTTGTTCTCTGTGTTCTGGGTGTATTTATTCTATTAAACAAATCCAGGATGTTTTCTGGAACCTGCAAGTCAAAATGAATTCTAGTATTTCTTATCAGAGCTGTGATGTGATCATGGTTCGGGCTCCACTGGTGGTTCGGGGGTTTTATTGGTTATTCGTAGTCAAGGATACCGATGGCTGATACGTGGAGATTAGGTTATTAGGTTAAAATGAGAACAACACAAACTCTTTTTAACATGTCATTCAGAGTTTATACGCTAACATAGTAGTTTAAGAGACTAATATCAATATCCTGAAACATGTTGAACATCCAGACGTCAGCCGGTCGGTGTTTAGTCGACCTTCATATGATTCAGATGCTGTGTGTTTGTTGTCCGTTTGTTTAACATGTAACTCATAATAATCTTTATTTATGGAGCGTTTGTCATAATCCAGGTTCCAAAGAGCTTCACAAGGACCAGAACAAAAAGTCATGAAACCGTTAGAATTTACAGACAGATCCGGACTGAACACGGAGTGTAAAACCAGAACAGTGTCAGAAGGAAAAGCTCTGATAGAAGAATACCTTCAGAACAGACACAGAGTGGATCAGTGACACCTGCTTTCCTTTATGTCACGACGTGTCGGTTATTCTACCGGCTCCTGACCCGTGTCCTTGTTCCTGTCGATGTGTCTGAGCGGTTCTGACTGAAGCCTGTCGCCCTGCAGCTCCGACGACATGGAGATGTGCTCCCTGAAGGTGCTGGAGCTGGAGGGCAGCCCGAGCCTCATGCTGCTGAGGCTGATGGGAGAGCGAGGCTGCACCACGGGCCACCTCATGGACTACCTCCAGGCGCTGGGCAACCAGGACGCCCTGCTGTGCCTGAAGCCACCAGGTGCAGTGAACCCGCCCCAGCCTGTCGCTGTGCCGTCCAGGTTGTTGTGTTTTTAGCTCAAAGGAGAGTTTGTGACTCACTTCCTGGTGTTCGATGACTCTGCTGATGAGTGCAGCCAGATTACATTTAAACCCTAAAAGCTGCTGATGTGTTGAACCCGTTCAGAACCAGTGTGAGGCTCAGTGGGACTCACAGTGAACCTGTCCTCCTCATGCAGCCCTGCAGATCCTCATCCAGCCCCAGTCTGTGGCTCTGATGTGTGGCCACAACCTGCGCCTCAGCTGCCACGCCGTGGGCAGGTCCCCAGTCCAGTACCAGTGGTTCCGATCCAAGGAGGAGGTGAGCTGCAGCTCCGCACAGCCACACACAGACTTTATCTAATCTGTTCATTTGTCATTTTGCGAAGTGTTTTACTTCCTGTCTCTGTACATCAGCGATCGTGAAGCGTGCTCACTGTGCTGCCTGGAACAGACTCGATGGAAGTTACAGATAAAGCGATGAGCTAAAGAACCAAATGACCAAGTTTGGACTTGAAATCTTCTTTAGCAGCACTTCTCCCAAACACAAAGCGACGCTTGTTGCATCCCAGCTGAACAACTGACAGAAGCCCACATACGTGTGAACAAACCCAACACGACCCACTGCTGTATGACAAACGTTACATCACCTGGTGAACCTGCTGACACGTGTTTCATTCATTGGTCCATAACGGTGACATAATTAACAGTTTTGTTGCATGATGCAGGTGTTTAGCTGTGCACAGGGCGTCAGAAAGGAATCACAGTAACCTACATGTAGTCGTGGTTCAGCTTTCCAGGAGGCTCACCGTCATTTAGCTGCAGTGTGAACGGATTTATTTAACCCCTAAACTCTTCTCTGGTTGTTCAGCACATTGTCATTAAATGAGACGTTCAGAATAAAGTGATTTTGGTGAAACATCGTGACTTTAAGCTCAGGTTAGACGTGATTAGGTTTTCAAACCAAACAACATGTCACAGATGAGTAGTTAAAGAACTGCTGGGAGGCTGAAAAGCTGAAGGTTTTTACAGATTCTGTCTATAACAGATGGACTCATTCTGGTGATTATATTAAAGACAACAAGCCTTTCAAACCCACCGGTGGTTTTTGGGGTCCAGAGGGATAAACTAGTCCCCGCTTGTCTTTCCCACCAACATCTAAATCCTGTTTTCTTTACTGCTGGTCGTCTGAAAAAAATGAAAAGTCAACCTTACATCTAACATCTACATCCTTCTACAGACTGATGTGTTCTTTGCATCGCCAGCATTCACAACAAATCAGACCTGAACGCTGTTCTCTGCAGTTTAAAAAGCCTCTTTAGTGAGCAGAGGTCCGACATTACGTCGTACGTGTTTGCTGAGCTACTGTGGAGCTCAGAGCCACAGACAGAACCTGGAACAGCGACTAGAGGCTGAAGTTCAGCCTGCAGGTGCTTCTTTCTGGAATCACTTCGCCTTCTGACGTAATGTGCTTCACAACTTCAGGTGCCCAACAGCTCCTCTCCAGACCTGGTCATCAGTCCGGTCCAGCTGAAGGACGCCGGCTTTTACATCTGCAGGGTCAACAGCGGAGACGCCTTCGAGTTCAGCCAGTGGGTTCAGGTGGACGTCCTGAACGCCGGCGTGTCTTACGGTGAGGAACTGCCAGCGTTTGAGTTTTGCTTCTGAACCAAGAACCTTCCAGCTCATGTCTCCTCCTCCTGCGCCTCCAGGGCAGAGTTACCACTCCTTAGACGGCCGGCTGAAGCTGGTCGTCCAGCCTCAGTCCCAGCGGCTGCACGACGGCGAAACCCTGCAGCTGGAGTGTGGAGCCGTCGGACGTCCGATCCCTCGATACCAGTGGCACAGAAACGGAGTCCCGATCCCAAACGCCACCAAGAGGAAGCTGGTGGTGAGGAGAGGCTGCTGGAGACGTTGTGCTACATGCCATGACCTGGAAGCTGTTTGCTTACTAGACTGAGCTGTTGTTATCTACCGCTGCTTCCAGATTCCTCACGTGATGCAGGATCTCCACGGCAGGTATCGCTGCGAGATCAGCAGCAGCAGCAGCAGCAGCTCTGAGAGGATGTGGACCAATGAGGTGGACGTTGTCATAGGTACGTCGCCCTCCAGGATGTCTCATTAATGCTATGAACCGTCTCTGTTGTCGTGATAACTGAGCGATTATCTGCCTCTGTTCTTAACTGAAAGCCCCGAGGATCTCTGTCCAGATCACAGGGGCAATGGAGTGCTCTGAAGGTAACAGCGGACAGACCGGGTCCATTTAGTCCGGTGTGATAGATAGCCCTGGTACCAATCAGCAGACGGTCGCTGCATGCAGGCGATGATCAGAACTCTGTTTAGGGTCGCTCCTGTACATGCATGTGGGTCAAAATCTGGATTCCTGCCACATGAACACTAACCAGCATGTCCGGGTTTGATCTGCAGGTTGACCGTGCATGCATTTGATCTGACTAATGTCTTTACTTCAAATCAGTCGTACGTTGATGGATGGCAGTTTTCTGATTCTGTTATTGTCAACAAATCCCACAAAAGACGGAAATCGAAACATCTCATGAAATCCTGTCATGATGTGTGTTTTAGAAGAAATACTGACAGAAGGCGTCTCGTACCGCTGCAGCCACTCAGCAGCACGGTGATGCAGAGACTTCAGCTCGGTGTGTTTCCCAGTAATGTGGCTTTCCCAGTTTGTTCCTCCTCAGTGATCCGGATTCAGGGCGATGAAGGAGCTGCACGACTAACTTCAAACGTTTGTTTTAAAGTTTGGCTCAAACATAGAAATCAGCCTCCTGGAGCAGAATCAGGGATCTCTATCTAAGGATACCTGCCAGCTTTGCTCATTACACTTCATAACCATCCACACACCCTTCTTTTATTTTTTATTTACATGTGAACGTCTGACTTTAAGCTAAGAGTGCTGGTGGATCACCGTGTTGACTCTTATGAGGGTGGTTGGAGGTACTATCTATCTAAATATGCTCTGATTTAACTTTTATAAAAGCCGACTTTAAAGTTCTTAATTCATTTTATTGACATTTTTGAGCCGAAGCAGGTATTTTGGGCGTCATAAACTAGAAAATATCATCAAAATCTAGACAAAAACAGACAATTTCTACAACGTTTCAGAACAAATGTCATATAAGTCAGAGTATATATAATATAAGAATCATTATGAGGACAGTTGAAAGTGATGTTTGACTAAATTATTCAAACTAGCAGACGAGGAGCTGAACAAATGAAAAGTGAATTTAAATCTTGTTGTTCACACACCGTGACTGTGAATCTATGCAGAGTTAGCATGACTCAACATTAAAGGGAAATAAACCAAAGCCATGCTGTGATATGCAGGGTATTGTCTTCTTAAACCTGAACCTCCCGTTAAGAAATGAAACCAAAACACTCCACCACCGACGGGTTGGAGCTTGTTGCTGCCTTGCTGGTCTGTACGTGGGACTTGTTGGCAATCAGAAAAACACAGAACATCACTAACGTTTACAGTTCATTATGATCAGCTGACCTGATTGCATGAACGTCAGCTGTGAGCTTCACCTTCCCTTTAACCAATCAGCCATCACTGTTTTCTTCTATCACAGACGTAAAAAGCTCAAACGATGGTAATTAATCCGTGTTTTTCCTTCCTAGATGACATTTACGCCATCGGAGAAGGTAATTATCGTCGACCAGCATTTACACGTGATTCAAACACACGTTTTTCTGACTGGCTGTTTGATTTCAGGCTCCGGTGACTTCTTGCTCAACAGTATTCCAGATCAGCTGTACGGTGAGCGTCTCTGAACACATCTGTTTTCATGCCCTTACTAGAGTTTTGTCAGTGTTTGTACTAACTGGAGATAGCACATTGTTCCTCTGAATGTGTGGCAGGTATGTCTGCTATCGTCAGAATCTTCAGAATTAGTTCCTCCCTCAATATGAACACCAGAATAAAGATGTGAAACTCTCTTCTAACAGTCGATGTCACTTGAAGCGTAACTACAGAGTAATGTCTATTTAAAAAAGCACAATATCACTAAAAACCAGGAAATAAGAGTTGAGGCCTCACGCGGCATCAATCAGCGATTACATGGTTGTGTTTGGTCCACTTCCTCCCTCTGAGCTTTTCTTAGTAACTGTGATTGTGATCAACGCCATCTGAATTTCTAGTGTTCGATTTCACTTCTCTACTGGTTGTGATTTTTCTGAAAGTTTTGTTCTTTCACATGAAACAGTCCAGTACATGCAAACTGTTGACTTGATGTGACCGTCGCCTGCAGCTAAAGGCCACGTGCTGGAACAAATAACAAATAATAATTAAAGCTGCAACCGGCGATGGACGGGTCCTCACTGTTTGATTGTCGGCCATCGCGCACGTCGGGTTGTGGCGCAAACGTGCTCCGGGCGGGACTCTGATCCGGCGTGTCAACTTTCGGGCAGATCAGAGCAGGTGCGGCCTAGTTACGAGCCACTTCCTGTTTAATGGCGAGCCGAGGTGGCGTGGCGTGCTGGCGGCGTGCTCTGGTTTGGACTCAGACCATGTGTCTAAAGTTTCAGGCAGATCGGGGCACGTACAGTCCAGTTACACTGCACGTCCTCTTTTATGGCGGTGACCTTTTTCAAAATGGCGGACTTCCTGTTGGGTTTAGGGGTTGGTGCTGATTGACTTTTTTGTGCGTCCTGACCTCCTACGTATGCCCACTGAATTTCTTAGGTTTAAGTGAAACGGGACTCCGACGGGACTCCGTTGAACGCCGGAAACACAACAAAAATGCGCACAATGGCCTTTCATCGAAGTTGCGTGGGCTGCCAAATATTATAGGGGGCGCTGTTGAGCCGTGTTGCGTTTTAGAGCTTGGCTCTGGTCGACTCTTTTGTCCATCCTGACCTGCTCCATGTGCCTACCAAATTGCGTAGCTCTAGACCAAACGTACTTCCGATGGGACTCCGTTGAAATTTTCAAGGGGGCGCTGTGGAGCCGTTTGGACACTGACACACCCAGTTCCTTTAAAATATAACATCTGTCGCCAGTTCTGGTGTGTGTGGTGATTTTGGCGAGTTTTCGGGCATGTTTAGACCCTCAAAAACGTGTCTGTAGAGATGATAATAAACCGTAGGGCTACGATAGGGAATAGGGTCCTTGCCCTGGTGGGATCGGACCCTAATGAGATTCAGGGCTACAGATTAGCTGCCAGTGATCAGAACCTCCTGAACAGATTTCATTTCACTCGTCTTATTTAAACCTCATGTATCAAGGGTTTGCTGCTGACGTGTGGTGCCATCAGGCCAAAGATGAAGCAGCCGTATGTTTGCAGCCAGAACATCTGTCTTCACTGTGGGCCCGTTTAAAAATCTAAATATATTTATTCTGAATTGGAACCAAAAAAAGTCTTGCTGTGGGCGTTTTTTAGTTTGTTGTCTTTGCAGCAGACTGGATGCTGACGTGGTTTACGTTCAGGTTCCAGTTCTTTCCACTCGTGTCTTTTGTCACATGCGGGTAGTTTAACGAGTCTGCCTTCATCTCTCCCTCGTTTCGGACCCCAGCGACCGACAAAGTGGCGCTGCTGATCGGAAACCTGTCGTACCAGAACCACCCGCAGCTCAAGGCTCCCATGGTGGACGTGTACGACCTCACCAACCTGCTGCGCCAGCTGAACTTCAAGGTGGTCTCGCTGCTGGATCTCACAGAGTCGGAGATGAGGAACGCCGTCGACGAGTTCCTGCTGCTGCTGCACAAAGGCGTCTACGGTAGGCTGGGCTGTACGGACCTCTGGCTGGTTCTAGATGTGGATCCAGACCAGCTGGTGACAGGAACTCTAAACTCCTTTATGCCTTTGAAACAGACAATATTAAACATTTCCTGACAGTAACCACACAGATCTCTAGAACTCCTCCCTAACGCTCACCTCTGCTTCAGGCCTGCTGTACTACGCTGGTCACGGGTACGAGAACTACGGGAACAGCTTCATGGTGCCGGTGGACGCTCCGAACCCGTACCGGTCGGCCAACTGTCTGTGTGTGCAGAGCATCCTGAAGCTGATGCAGGAGAAGGAGACGGGCCTCAATGTGTTTCTGCTGGACATGTGCAGGAAGAGGTGAGTCCTCCCACTTTGTTTTGTTAAACGGAGATTAAATTATTATTCTGACACGAGGAGTGTGAGGAGACGGTTATGTCTGAATGATAAAGCAGCCAAGAGCAGAGAGTTTAGGCTTCAGATTCACACAGTCACTAAAATATGAGCAAATATTCACATTACTGCCACAAATGGACTTCAGATTTTTCAGGTATTTTACACTTACACCCTGTTTGTCTTTAAATGAAGTGACATCTACAGGATTTAGTGGCTTAAACCAACAATTACTGTCATTATTGTGGAGCAGTGAGAGCACCAAGCTACACAAATAAATCAATAAAAGAATATTAAAATAAAAGTGGAAATAAAATGAAGAATAAATAGAATAAAAAATAAACAATGTGGCGATATGAGCCGAGTGCAGATTCATGGCTGTGAGCTGATGTAGACGTCACAGTCCCATCAGGGATGCTGCTGGTGTTACAGCCTGGATGTGCATCGGACACATTTTATAGATTTATGTTTACTTTCTAGGAATATCCACGATAACAGCGCTCCAAACATCGTCCTGAGGGTCACGGCCAACATCGTCTTTGGATACGCTACGTAAGTCTGATTGAAAATGAACTCGAGAGGCTTTTTCTAGTCACAGATATAAAACAGTGAGCGTTCTGTTGGACCGTTTAGGTGCCAAGACGCCGAAGCCTTCGAGCTGAGCTCCAGCGGCTTCACCAACGGCGTGTTCGTCAAGTTTCTGAAGAAGCGTCTCCTGGACGACGAGAAGATCACGGTGGTGCTGGACAGAGTGGCTGAAGGTTAGAGACGACAGAAACGCCTCGTACAGTAGCTTCAGACCCAGGCAGCAATAAATCAGAACCATGAGGACTGATGAAGGATCAACGGACCGGTTTAACATGCAGCTGCTGGGTTTCAGGTTATCCTTTAATCGATTTAATTAAAAGCAGCGTGCTTTACATTATTAATGTAAATGTTGTGTCCTCTGGCTTGTGGGCTGCTGCAGTTTCCTGTAAGTGGAAGGAAACTTACTGACGCATCAAAGATTCAACTTTAACATGAGCTCAGAGTAACTTCATTAAAAATGAAATGACCTCACAGAGGGCTGCACGGTGGCTCAGTGGTTAGCACCTTCGCCTCACAGCTAGAAGGTTGATGAGGTGAGGACACCCGGGATCTTCCTGCGTGGAGTCTCCATGTTCTCCCCGTGCAGCGTGGGTTCTCTCCGGGTTCTCCGGCTTCCTCCCACAGTCCAGAAACATGCTGAGGTTAATTGGTGATTGTAAATTGTCCGTAGGTGTGAATGTGAGTGTGCTTGGTTGTCTGTCTCTAAGTGTAGCCCTGTGATAGACTGGTTACCGTCCAGGTGAACCTGCCTTCACCCTGAGTCAGCTGGGATAGGCTCCGCCCCCCACAGTGAGGATGAAGGTGTAGAGATGATGGATGGATGCTTCCAGCCTCTCTGTCTCTTTGTGTGCTCCGGTGTGTTGCTGTAATGCTGCCGTGTCATCTGTTTTCAGATATGGGTCAGTTTGACGCTACGAAGGGGAAGCAGGCTCTGGAGATCCGCAGCAGTCTGTCCGAGAGGAGAGCGCTGACCGATCCTATTCTGCCCGGCGACAGCGCTGACCTCGCTCACGCTCACAGCCGCCAGTGGGCGAAAGCTCACGGTGAGTTGACGACTAACACGGCAGCAGTTTGCTATCAATGCAGCGGGAAGCTCGTAGCCGCTGACAGCAGCTCAGGATTCTGGGTAATGATGACGCTTGGCGAGAGGATTCAATTCAATTCAATTCAATTCAATTTTATTTGTATAGCGCATATTTACAACAACAAGTCATCTCATAGCGCGTCACCTGGTGACGACATCATCACCCCTCCGTCTTCCATCAGCTCATCAATAGCTGATGTTAGAACACATCAGTGTTGCTGTGAGGGAAACCACCGACTACAGCTGGTTTAACTGGGATTCATCAGCCTGCTTGCTGAACGAGGGACATCTTTGCCTTTTTTAAAATTTTTAAATCATTTTTTGGGAAAAACACTTCACAGTTTACAAAGCTAGTTATAGTAGGTGGTTCTATAACTATAGAACTGCATTAAACCCTTAAACCCTACCTACGTACAGAAAAATGTCTAAACGTGTGTCTACAGATGTTTTACTTTCACACATCTGTAATCATACAGATGCAGTCGTCCTGTTTTAATCCTCTTACGTGTGTTTATCTCACATGTGAGGTTATAAGTTTAATCCACTCGCTTCATTTTACATATTTGGTAGACTTAGTGTTTTTTAAATCGTCAGGAGAAAGTCGGTTGTTCCATGTTGAATATGTCCAGAATGATGTGACGCTCCGGTGTGGGTGCTGCTGACCTTCAACATTTTCAGTCTGAAATAAGTGAAATCTCACCTTCTCTTAGCTGATGTGAGACTAAAACAGATTTCTTTTGCTTCAGTGAAACTTTGTAGGATTCTTTTTAATAACATCAGCAGCGACTGTTTGTTTGATGAACGTATCTAGAAATGTTATGAGTTCATTCTTAGAGCACTGATGAGAACATCTGTCTTCTGTAATGAAACACTGAACGGTGTGGATGTGGGAATGCAGCCCAAACACCAGGTGACGGTTTATAAGTTCATCACATGTGAAGTAGCTGAATGTGGTTTGTGTGTCGCTGCAGAGCTTCCTGAGAGCATGTCTCTGGACTTCGACTGCGGCGCTCAGATCAAGTTGGGCTTCGCCGCCGAGTTCTCCAACGTGCTCGTCATCTACACCCACATCGTGAAGAAGCCGGAGGACATGTCCTCCTGCCAGGCTCACGTCACCGACTTCTCACAGGTCACCACGTTCACATCAGCGCTGGTTTACAGAAAGCAGAGGGTTCCTCATCGCTCTAACCTGCTTTTCTCACCACAGGACCTGGATGTGGATCCTAAAGAGATGAACAGAGAGACTCCAGAGGAGACGGGGATCTACCTCCTGTCCAGCTGCCTGCCCCAGCACTGCCTCTACACCAGACTGAGCTCGCTGCAGAAGCTCCGGGTAAAAACTCAAACATGTAGGCAGAACATTTAGACACATTTGGTCCTGTTTCAGTGAGACAAGGATCCAAATGTAGAAACGACGGCAGGTATTTAAGAAACAGAAAGCAAGCTTTAATCAACAAGCTGACAGAAAAGCAAACCACATCCATCCATCATCTCTACACCTTCATCCTCACTGTGGGGGGCGGAGCCTATCTCAGCTGACTCAGGGTGAAGGCAGGTTCACCTGGACAGGTAACCAGTCTATCACAGGGCTACACTTAGAGACAGACAACCAAGCACACTCACATTCACACCTACGGACAATTTACAATCACCAATTAACCTCAGCATGTTTCTGGACTGTGGGAGGAAGCCGGAGAACCCGGAGAGAACCCACGCTGCACGGGGAGAACATGGAGACTCCACACAGGAAGATCCCGGGTGTCCTCACCGGGACGCCAACCGGCGACCTTCTAGCTGTGAGGCCACGGTGCTAACCACTGAACCACCTGCAGCGCTGTCGTAGCAGATCTACTTTGTGTAGCTACAGAGAAGCGGTCATGACTCATAGAAACAACAGATTCATCCTTCATGTTTGTTGATGCCACTGTTTCTCTGCTGACCTCACAGGAGGAGCTGGTCTTCACCGTCTGCCTTCAGGGCACTTTTGCCTCCATGGACGACGACCATCCCGTCCACTGGACCAAGAGCGTCAACATCGGCAAGCCGCTGATCGCTCGGCTGGACCTCCACCGGGCCATGAGGCGGAACAGCTGCCTGCAGACCTGCCTGATGCCCCACAGCCCGTCCCACAGCCCCTGCCACAGCCCCGGGCCCGAGCACCGCCTCCACCCCCACCACGCGTCGCTGCAGGCCCAGGACTGCAACCGGCTCTCCCCGCAGCAGCGCTACCTGGACATCTGTGAGCATCTCCAGGGTGCGGTGGGCGGCTGCGGGGAGCCCTACTACGACCACCTGAGCCAGTGTCGCTTCGAGCCGCCGTGCGACTCGCCCGAGGGGCTGTCGAGCTCACCGGGGCGACTCAGCATCCCCATAGAGGCCAGCGACGACATCGTCGAGCTGCAGACGGTGTTCATCAACAGCCTGCAGCTCCAGTGAAGCACACAGGAGCACTAACAGCTGCTGCTTCCTCTGTTACACGCTGTGAAAAGATTTTATATTCTTGAATTTATACTCAGTGTTTGTCTCAACTAACTGTATGCTGTATGAAAAAGAGCATCTCAGTGAGCTGACAGAGGGGTGACTGATGCGGCTTTAGTTTTTTAGGGCTTTTAAACAGAACTGGAGTTGTTTCTCTGACAGAGACTGATGCTAATTATAATGTAGGTAAAGGAGCATTAAGACGAAGAAGAGCATCATCGTAGTTTTATCAGATAATCAACCTGAGGAGAGCCAGACTGATGACAGACTGTTTAGTGTTTGTATTCCTAAATTTAAAATTGATAACCAGTTCATTTACGGTTCCTAACCTGAGGTTTGAGTCCCTAGAAAGGGTCACAGAAGAAATCTGAGAGGTCATGAGATGATTGGTTACAGAAACAAAGAGGAAAAATCAACACAGAACTTTCCCTTCTTTCATTGTTTTCTGTTCTCAGAACAGTTGCTTTTTGTGAAATATTTCAAAGTTTTTTTTATCTTTGTACCTCAAAATATTACTTAAATCAAACAGTCAGATATTTAAAATGTGACAAGAGGCTAAAAGTAGGCTGTCTTTCATAATGCTTCATATTTTTATAAGCTTATACTCTTTTATATATAAAAAAAAGAATCTGAAAGCTAAGTAGTAGCTTTAGCTGTTATATAAATGCAGTGATGTGAGATGTATATTATTTCTACCAGAATTTCTTAAATCTAAAGTAGCTTAAACTGGAAAAACTTACCTCAAAATGTATTAATGTATGATATTTGAATAAATGTTCTTTCCCCCAGTGATCCGTGACACGTCTGAGATGAAATATAATTAAAAGCCTTCACACACACACAGAGCTGGTCTTTGTTTCCTGAGTCAGTGCTCCCTCAGGATGGCAGCAGAAGGCCTCTGTGGTAGAAACGTAGACCAGCAGCCTCCCAACTCTCTGCATTATAATCAGAACCACACTTATACTATCCACTATATACTGTACAGCTTTGGAGGGCTATTTTTACCGTTTATTTCATTACAGACTACAGAATGCTTGGCCTTAAATGTAATTAGTAAGTGAATAACATATTCAAAATGGATTCCTTCAACATCTCCTGTTATTCGTGACGTTCACACAACACACCTGCCTGCAGTAGACTGAAAGCAGGAGTCACTTAAATGATCTGATGACATCCTAATATTTATTTTCTCGCTCTTATTTGTCACATTATCAAGCTAGAAAATAAAACTATGCAGATTTACAGTCTTAAGGAACATTTTATTTTTCCTTTCTGACCATGCAACTAATTCTCTTTTTACAAAATGACGCAAAAATGATGTGAAAATTGTGCCAAAAAGCAGTTTTTACTGTTTGAAATGGATGAAACAGATAAAACGGCACAAGGCAGGACAGCTAGCTCGCATATGGTCATCAGACACAGTTGTTTAAAGGTTTCCAGACGTTTAGGTAGATGTTCATGTGATTACAAAGAAATATTAAAGCCGCAAGCGGCGATGGACGGGTCCTCGCCCTACGCTTGTCGGCCTTCGCGCACGGCGGGACTGTGATCCGGCATGT